CGAGGGGAGGGGGGTGTGAGGGGTCTCGGACCGCGGGGCTCCGCACGGGGCGCCCACCGCCTGGGTCCTGGACCTGCCGACCCAGGGGCCGCCCGCGGAGCTCTGGACCCGCTCGCGCCGTCGTTACCCGCGCAGGGACTTCGCGGGGATGCGCTGGGGACGCAGACACCCTCGGCTCCAGCCGATGGGCGCTTTCGAGCATCCCCGGGGCCAGTTCATGCCTTTTTCGTGCAACTCGGTATCCCCAACTAACCTCCCGCCGGGCACCCCCAGACTGCCGCTCGCTCTGCAGTCGGTGCAGACGTGCGACTGGATGTAGTGCGTTGACCTTGGACGCACTTTCAGTCCGGGTCAGAGCTTTTCCTCCGGGCCTCTCCGGACTTCCCGGACAGCTTCTCTTCGATCTCACTCCCCCTACCTTTTCCTTAAAACAGAACAAACAAACAAACAAACAAACAAAAAACACAGTTAAAGAAATTTGCAAGTGCAAGAGAAACCAGCTGACCGAGTACTGAGTCAGGGAGACCCAAATTTTCAACTGGTGGTTAGACTTTGAACTGTTTGAGATTAACCTTAAGATTTACAAAGGGCATGTCTCTGTGAGGAACCTAACCCGGCTATATCTTAGGGTCCTGCGTGTCGCGGAGGTCTGCTTCCTTTCCTGGGCTTCGGGCTCCTGGCCTTATCTCAATGCTCCGGGAAGCCTCTCACGTTGTCAGCCGTGACTGGGTGGACTTGGCCCCTTTTTCTGAAAATTTTGTGTCACTCTTGTCCTCTGGATAATCACTGGTCCGACCCTGAATCACTGGCGACGTGTCACCCCAGACTTGAGGCGATGCAGCTGCAGAGCTCCTGGACAGAGACCTGCCCTGGGTGGATTTTCTTTTGCCAGTTTCCAAAGGCAATTTTAAAACAATACTGTAGCTTCATTTTGAGTCATTGATATATTTTTACTCCTCAAAAATGCCCTTTTCTATAACAGATAAAATAACTTAAAGAAATTTTTATTTTAGTTTTTATGAATCATCTTTTGACTTCTCGAGGTGAGAGAACCCTGAATGTACCATCAGCATTTTTCATCTTAATCCCTCTTTAAAAGACAACGCTCAAAACATGCCTTCTATTCCTGTTGTGTATCTTGCCTGTCGTCCCCCTCAGTTGTACTTCTCATGGACCAAATCCCCCGCAACCTGTAGGGACCCCATTCATTACCTGTTGAAATGTGCAGTCTAGTCTCTGCAGACGTTATTAAAACATTTTAATGATATCATCTTTTTCCTGGGGATCTACCCACCCTCTGCCATCACTTTGGCCCCCTGAGAAGCCCATAAACTCTTTTAGGTTTGTGATGTAGAGCAAAGAGATTTGTAAACCAGATAAGATCAAATTCTGGGACATTTAGAGACAATGAATTTACTTCCAGCTGGAGATTCATGCCTTCTTTCATGTGTTTTTGTTCCTTCCACAGAGTAAGTGTCTATTTTGTATTCAACCACTTTCTGGTATCCTTATTCATATTATGCAACTCGAGCCTAACTTAGCTCATCCAAGAAATGGGGTTGATGATCTTTGGTCTTTCAACATCATACAGTGTGAGGATCAAGTGGGATAATGGGGTGTGAAACAGCAAAAAGCAGCACAACACAAGGCATTAAAAAGCCACTCAGGTATCATGCAGAGACACAACAAGGGTAAAGAGCTACAGAGGTGGGATGGGGGCAGTGAAGAGAAGGTGCCATACCCTTACCCTTTATATTTACTGTTTCAGGCGCTCTAGCCAGGGATGGGCCCTTTTTTTTGTGGGAAGTATTCATTCCTGGGTCGGTGTCACTGTCTTTGATATTTCAGGGTGTTCTTAACCATGGTTCTAATTTTATGAACATATGTGATTTGCACAATGCACATTGGGAAAACAAAACTAAAGTGCCTTTTATCTGTTGCTATGATGCCTTTACTTTTCCACATCTGATATTTAGGTTCGCTCTCCCAGAGCCATGGTCTTCTGAAGCCTGTGCTCCAATGAGGTCTGCCAAACTCCTGATGATTTCTATACGAAGTCTCTCGGCCACTGTATCCCCACAATCCACAATTATTCCATGGCGCGGGAAGGTTTGGTAGAGTTATGCCTTGGGACTAGCCAGGAGCCATATATGTGAATCAGGTCACAGCTGGAATCAAGCTAGATACTCATTCAGCATTGAGGGTACCTACTAGGGGTCACTGCTGTGCCCTGTGCTAGGGGTAGAGGGGGAGACCTAGCTGAGAAAGATGGAGTTTGCCCCTGAACACTTATCTTCCGGTAGAAATGAGACTTGGTTTCAAAAGGCAGG